TTTCGTTTCGTTTCGTTTCGTTTCGTTTCGTTTCGTTTTGTTTTGTTTTGTTTTGTTTTGTTTTGTTTTGTTTTGTTTTGTTTTGTTTTGTTTTGTTTTGTTTTGTTTTGTTTTGTTTTGTTTTGTTCTGTTTTGTTTTGTTTGCGGATGATTCAACAATCCTTAATAATGGATTTAACGAAGTTTTTATTAGAAACGTTAAAACTAAATCATATTCTTCGGAGGACTCAAAGTAACATTAATTATATGATCCTAAATTGTAAAAAAAAAAACAAGACTATTGAAAGTTATTCGAGTTTGCGCAAGTTTTCCGAGCACTGGTCCGCTCTTCAAGCCTTAGTAAATCGTTTAGCATGATTATTGAAGAACTGTAGCCAATTTGAAAACGTCATTACCTGCAGTTCATTTGGCTAATATACTAATATGTTTGCTTTCTGTCGCGAAGTGTCCTTTTAGTTCACACCGATATCGGTTTCATCTTTTACAATAATGAGTTTCTCCAACTCATATATATATATATATATGACTGTATACCTATATTTTATGACCTGATACCAAAGCATTGACAAAGCATTATACATATTTGCATATAGCGCAAGAAAATTCATCTACATGTTGTACTTCGAATAGTTATATAGTCTCTTTAGGGAATAGGGAAGAATACCTATAGTGCATGCTAACTATGGCCTAAATATTGTTTATTCCCCTCTTTAAGTAATTAAGGCATTAGAGCCCCGCAGCACATATAGAACAAAACAAACATGTAAATATTTTATTGACATAAAACCTACATATATACCAGTGACAAAATCAATGAAAATTTGTCAAAAATCTGTATGAATTGAGAAGCGTGTACGAAAATTCAGCATAAGCTCCACCTTTAAATTTACTATATGCGTAAATTGTTAAACACGTCCGGATTTGTCAACACGATAAACCCGCGGCACCTAACCCCTAACACTAACCCTAACCCCAACCCCAACCCTAACCCAACCCTAACCACTAACCCCTAATCCTAGTCTAACTTTTGAGACTTTTTTGAAAATCTAACTTTTTAAAGTTTTTTTTTCTTTTTTAACTTCTTTAAACTTTGTTTTGAAAATCTTGAAAATCTCCAGGTTTCATTATTTTTAGAAATAACTGTAGTTAATAACTCTGACCCATATACCCACCCTAACGATAAATTACGTTACAATCCAAAATCTGTCACGTGACCATATCAGAACAAGGTCTCACCGCAGCAGGTGTTTAGGGGTGTCGTGGAGGTGAGACGCTGTGAATCAATTAGAACAGTCAGACAGCCCACTACATTGCTGCATTATTTGGTTAGCCTAGAGAATCCATAAAAAATCTAGAGAAATCCATAAAAAATCCGTAGAAAAATCCGAGTATTTTGAAAATTCTGAAAATGCCGTACACTTTTTTGGAGTTAATTAAATGCCCGCCTTCGTTTTAGCACATACTTTACGTTTATATGAACAGAGATCAGAGTTATTATAGTTTTGCCGTCAGCAATTGGGCAATGTGATAATGCGCTCCGAACCTACCCTTCCCGAGGGAAATAATTAACAACTCAAATCCTTTTTTTTTAATTTTTTTTTTTAAATTCAGTATAATTACATATACTAAGCGGACAAACAATAGGACACGAGGTCCCCTACAAGGTTTGAACACCTGTAACTAAACTAATATAAAATGTATACCCCTCCCTAATCAATTATCTAAGTGAATCAGGGGGGGGGGACACCGAGTATCCGGTTGAAGTTGACGTGATTGCATACTTTTAACAATTTGTACCGGAAATGTTTGAAAATACAACGCAAACTTATTTGACAGCTGAATCAACTAGAAAAGAAAAATTGCTTTATAAAACAAAACTCGTAACAATTAGTACGGTTTTGGATACTAACTTCCTGACGAAGGGCCTTCGCTCGAAACGTCGACGTTTTTCACGTATGTTTCAGGTAGTTGAACATTCTCGTACCCAGAGTCCTTCTTATGCGCGGTCAACGGAGCGCGACGAGGAGCTCTGGCCAAATCCATATCAAACTGGCATCTGATTGGCTACAACGAAGGTTATTGCTTATATATTCTTTTGCCATGTTTATATGGTATCTGGTTTTGGATTTGGCCAAAGCCCCTCGTTGCACCACGCGTAAGAAGGGCTCCGGGTACGAGAATGGTAGTTGAACTGTTGATTCCTTCTCAGTCCGCATCTTTCTGTTGAGCAAAATTGTCCGTACCAGGAGACATTTTTTTGCCTTTATGCACTACATCGGATGCATGCATATAAAAATTTTACTACATGCATGTATTTTCTTGATTTTTGCTAAATATATTGATTGGTTTTTAAGTCTTTCAATATGGAGCTTTCAGTGGAGAAATTAGTTTCAAAAACGTGAAATATACTAATGGTTAATTAAGAAAACATCATATAATCATGTAGTATGAATGGCTTTTTTCTTGACTTAAAACCATTAATAATTCATAAACCTTGTGGCAAATCATGTCAACCATAATATGTCACGTGGAGTGATTTTATATTTGATAAAACATGGGGCATTATATAATTGTTCATCCTCATTACTATGATTATATAATGGTTCATCCTAATTAGCATTCTTTTGTAGTCGTAGTATAAAACACTCCTACTGGTGTTTTAAATAGTACGTAAAATGTAATCTAAACCCCGCCCCCTTTGCACCACAAGAAGCAAACGTATAGCATATCGAGATTTGAACTATTAGTTTATACATAAAACCACAAGTTTACAACAAGACTTCTATGGTATTTCTACTAGACTATGATAATTATAATGCAAGGCAAAATATTAATTGTACTCACATGATTACCAATACCAAATCAAGATAAACTTCATATATAAAACTATACGATAACAATTCATCAATTTACATCAAAGACATTTGCGTTTTACAAGTCCAGGTTAGCCATATGCATGTTTTCCAAGTAGAAGTTATTTGTAAAGGTAAAATATTTAGAAGATAAAAACATTGATTTTAAATAATTATACTCAGCGTATTTTTTTAAAATGTTTTTCCTTCCTACCGACCTGTCTTTTTTAAAGTCAAATCCGTAAACCAATAAATAAAAAAATCTCGCCTATATAATGGATTATTTAATGTGGATACACATGCATGTGTGGTAGTCTAATTATAGGTAAATGGCAGTGCGCTAATCACATTTGCATTTGCCACCTGTGTTCTCCCAAGTTTAGGCCCCCTATTTTCTAGTAATATAATTAACACTTCTTTACTGGGAGCGAGGAAACAGTATATTCTGTGGACCCGAGACCGTCGATGTTTGTCATGTTTCCCACCAATAGTCAAAGAAACAACAAATTATTAATAAACAAATGAGCGTAAATACATGAAATAATTTATTGTCAGTAATGAAAACGTCAAATTAAACACTGCAGTTACTTAAAACGAAAGTTTAAATTGTTTTAGACATTTACGCTTTTAGGCATGTCCAAAGATCGCATCTTCACGTGATGTCGCACGTAATTTTTCTTCGTTATTCGCCGGTCGATAACGTATGATCTTCCTCTCGCCCTGTTGTGAGGGAAACAGCCTAATTTCGTCACTCTCACGTGATATGCTCTCGACCAATAAAACACTAGAAAAATGCGACTTTGATTATTAGTATATAATAATTATCGTAGTTATATATTTTCAGTGTCTCTGTAACGAGCGGAAAGATGGCTTCAAAGAGAATGATATTGTTAACCATTGTAATATTGCTGATGTTTGGCAATACAACGTCTAAAATTAGCTCAAAATCAGTCGAAAGAATAGAAAAGGGTCTCGCTGGAGGTCAGAAAATAGTGGAATTTATTTCGAAACTCGGTGATCCAAAAACAAGAAGGGTCTTTGATTCGTTGGCAAAGATGGCAAGCTTTCTGGGAGCGGCAGGTGGTCTCCTATCGTTTGCGTTAGCGTTTGTTCCAAAATCAGATTCGCTTGAGCTTCGATACATGAAGGAGAAGTTTGCCAAGGTGAATTCGAAACTTGACGTAATCAGCTCGAAGCTAGATAACGTGAAAGATCTCATTACGTATGAAAATCAGCGCGCAGTTTATCTGGACAGTGCCTCCAAGATTCTGTTCGGCCATAAACAATTGACAGCATTCCTGAATGAATTGCAAAATACGTCGTGTAAGGATGAAAAAAACTGCAATCGTGTGCGAGCCAGAATTGCATCTCGATACGTCGACGATTTCAACGTGAAACGACATATGTTCAAAGTTCTGAACGGTGCTATAAAACCAACATCAGCATTTGGAGATCCACTCCTTAATGTAATCAGGAAAACATTCAAGTGTGATGTTGGCAAAATCGACCATCTTGCAAACAGCATTCTCAAATTGTCATTCAAGGCTCAGCAAGTGACTCTGGCGCATGAGAAATTGAGAGGCAGCAACTTTAGTATTACCCAAAGCATGAATGACTGGCTTAAATCACTCTATAATCTGAGAGAGATAACATACAATATTAAAAAGCAGTGCTTTGACAATATTTCTAGTTATATGATTTCTGATATCAACGACAAAAAATATCAAGTTAATGTAGATTCAAATCATCAAGCAAATCAAGAAGTGAAGAATGTCATGCAGGAAAAATACAAATGGCTTGGATGGGTAAGATATGTTTTCTTTTATTTATCCGTAACGTAATGCAGGCTTCTGATTGGTTGACGAGAGGTGCGTATCAAACGATACGGACCTCTCGCACACGTTATGAACATCTCATGTTTCGCGCCAGAACAAACCGAGGAGTGAAGACAATTTTCAAACTAAAAAAAAAATCCAAAAACCTGAAAAGTCCTCCCTATCGATACTAAAGAGGGAAAAATAAGCTGAACAGACTTCAATGGATTTAGTGTCAAGCTTGACGTATATATAAGTATCGAAAAATCAGTGCCAAATGCTTACTTTCAAAAGTTCAGCATATATATTCAGCTATATTTTGAAAAATATACATTAAAATACAAATACTGGAACCAAGGACTTATCCTCACACATGAAAATGTTAAAAATACCTTAAAAGGCAGTTTAAACATTTCTATAGACTCATTTCAGTCATATAATTATTTTTTATAAATACTGTGACATTGTTGTCGGCAAGTACAATATGTTGCTGCGTGTCGAAAGAACATTTCCGAAGCATATTATTATAGTCTAAGACCTGCATAGGAGTTTGTATGCGTTTCATTTACCACAGGTAATCTCAACTGTTTCAGGGTAAGATGACCATGGCGGTCAATATGGCATATGTGCCAAAACCTGAATCCGGGACGAAAGTCTTGAAAATGACCCCGCCCTAAAACGGCAGTGCCGACATAGCACTAACTTCGAATTCCCAAAAGCAAAAGCGATAGCCTTTCTGAAGTGCTTATAATGTTTAGAAGGGTTGCTTTTAGGGGTGGTTATTGGAAGGAAAAAATTGTGTAAGTAAAAAAAAATTATCATGGGATGAAAAACTATGCTTAATTTAACATAATCATTGTAGTTTTCATAAGGATTGTCATTGGTTTCTATAAATATAATACATTTTATTTCACTCACCCCCCCACGAAATGTCGATTTCAGCCATATTTTCCCGTCTTGTTTGCTTTTTATCGCCGTGTCTCGCAAATCATAGTGGCATCCAGTTGTTGTACTTTTACGTAATGATAAATGGCTAAAGCAGATTTCAACCAAGCTTCGGCAAGTTTAAAGTGAAGCAGTGCAGTGTATTTTATCTTCGATATTTCGTCTAATATGCCGCCATTTTAATGGCTCGCCGATTCGGATTTTACTACATCCCGGGTGTTCTTTGTCAGTGCCCGCGATCACAATTAAGATTATCAGCGTTTGAGTTCGCAACTCAATATTCAAACAGATAAAACAGATTATTAAAACTTTTTAAAGCACTTTAGATTTTATACCGATCCCCAACACTAACCGGCCTAACTTTTAAGAGTTAAAAAAGGCAGGAAAAAAAGAAATTAAAAAAAAAGTGAGAAAAAGATCTAAATCGGACCGCAAACGTTCGACATCGATCCCGACCCCAACTGCGTTTCACTTTTAGCACGCAGCGCCTTTACCGCATGAGTAACCTGAGATCAGGCTCTATTTTACAAATAATAGCCTGACACAATCCTTAATGCGATCGCTTTCCACCCACAGCAAAGTTTATATTTAGTATCCAATCAAAATGTCGCAGGAGAAATTTAAATTTCACACAACGACAACAACAATCTAATTATAGTTGTGATCACTATAAATATATCAACGACAATAATATAATCTAATTAGCACCAACCAATCAAATGACAGATCAAAAATCTTTTGTCTCATAAACCAATCAGATTTACAACAGAAATACGGTTGTAAAAACATGGACTTTTGTTAAGGTTTGTATCAGGCCTATTTATTTATTTATAGGCCTGATCGCAGGTTACCGCATGAGCTAACGACAAACTTGGTGAAAATCACCGCAAACAAAAGTTTTTATATTGCTACAAAATACGAAATGACTCCCGTCTGTCTAGTCACTTGGTTATTTTTCATTTGAGCTGCTATAAATGTTACTAGCTCATATAAAATCTGTGAAATTAGTGGTAAAACATAAACAGTATGTAAGTTTTGTCAAAAAATAAAAAGGCAATATGTCTGGATCAAATAAACTGACTAGAAGCAAACTAATATCTTGAAATATAGATTAACATGCCGACAAACCGTTACAGTTTAACAAAGTTATAAATTTACGTCGAGTATTATATCATTTATATATTTGGCTTTTAAGATGTTTTCTTTCAAACATCATGATTTCAGGAAACACTCAATGTTATCATCATGTACCGCTGATAATACTAGTTCTGATCGCGGGCACTGACAAAGAACGCCCGGGATGTAGTAAAATCACGCTGATTCTCTGCCCGATAAATGCCACCCACTTCTTAATTCGTTTTCATATGTATTTAGATTACAGTATCCAAAAGTACTTCATTGTAGAATAATCCCAAATGAAAAATTGAAAACATTAGTTGCACTTGAAAGGAAATAACCTCCCATAACAAATTTAGGATAGGAATAAAAACAAATAATTTGAAAGTGATGCGTATTAAAATCTTCGCGAAAATTCCTCCTACTTGACAGGAGGGGGGCGAATATTTTCACGAAACGTTTGTTCGCCACCACAGCAATTCAAGTTTCAACAAAATATTTTGTATTTATTGTATTTTATGATTTAAGACTAGGTTACCTAAAATGTAGTAAATGCTGCCTTTAAGGTGAGTGCAAATCAAAGGTGTGTTATCGCGTATACGAAATGATACAAAAACAAAATTTAGCTACCCTAAACTGCGAAACGTATTAATACTATGTAAAATATAGTGAAATATAGCAGTATTAGACTTAATATGAAATCCGATAGTATTTGTCGTTTGTATTTGTACGCGTACTATAAAAGCAGCGCGTAATTGAATTCAACAGTACGCAAGTGTGAAGAGACGCACATGTTTAATTAATATATGTCATGCCAGTGATTGCCCTTTAACCCCTGGTCTTGGCAACAAATGCATTAATTTCGGCTCAGTTGGCTCGCTGCGAGTAATAATTGTGCTTTAAATCGCATGCGTATGGATTGCTGCGAGAATTAAGAGCAAATAGAGTACAAATTACTGATAAAGCTGCTTTATCAGTAATTTGTACTCTATTTGCTCTTAATTCCCGCAGCAATCCATACGCATGCGGTACTCTTGTTGAGTTACTAAACTTTGTTTGTCCACTCTGAACTCTCGAGAAAAAAGAGAACACGTGCTCAAATGGAGTTCGTTCAATATAGCCGCGCGTTGAGTGTTGGTAAAATGACTTTCAACCAACATGCTTTGCGGCTCTAGCTGTACGATTTTAGCTGTACGTACGATTTTAGCTGCTGCCTTGCTCGCTCGCTTAATGCTCACTCGCTGCGGCAGCAATAAAAACAATAAATATTTACGTATTTTTATTATCAATCATAAAAATACAATAAATATAATATATCTAGTTCATAGGTCGCTGTTGGTTAACAAACGTTTCGTGAAAATATTCGCCCCCCCCCCCCTGTCAAGTAGACAAGAGGAGTTTTCGCGAAGATTGCGCGTGACTTCAAATGATTTATTTTTATCCCTATCCTAAATTTGTTATGGGAGGAGGTTTTTTCCTTTCAAGTGCAACTAATGTTTTCAATTTTTCAATTGGGACTATTCTACAATGAAGTACTCTTGGATACTGTAATCTAAATACATATGAAGGCGAAGAACCCACCGGGCACACGACGTTGTTTCAACGTTGAAATTTGGTAGAAAAAAGGTTGCGAGTCGACAACCTAATATCTACGTTGCTCTGACGTTGTTTTACAAACGTTGGTTCAACAGCAGCCAACAGACGTTGAATTAACGTTCATTCATGGTTAAATGTACGACGTCGATTTGTGAACCAATCTCAACGTCGTTTTAACGTGGATTCAACGTTGAATTATGGTTGACGAGATTGGCAACCTAATTTCAACGTTGTTTCAACGTCGAAACAGTAACGTCGATCCAATTTGCATAGTCAACCCTTTTTCAACGTCTATACAACGTCTGGAAGGTCATTTCCAACATTAATTCAACGTTGGATAAACGTCATTTTACCCGCTGGGAAGTGGCATTTATCGGGCAGAGAATCGGCGAGCCAATAAAATGGCGGGATATTAGACGAAATATCGAAGAACACAATATCGAAGATAAAATACACTGCACTGCTTCAAAACTTGCCGAAACTTGGTTGATATCTTCTTTAGCCATTTACCATTATGTAAAAGTACAACAACTGGATGTTCTTTGCGAGACACGGCGATATAAAGCAAACAAGACGGGAAAGTGAAATGGGGGGTTAAGTGAAATAAAATATATTATATTTATAGAAAAAATGACTATCCTTATGAAAACTGCAATAATTATATATATTAAATTAAGCATAGTTTTTCATCCCATGATAATTCTTTAGGAAATAAGGATATTTAATTTCTGCATGCCATGCATATTAGTTATTTTATGCATAATTAGCAATTTACCTGGGATGATGCATGGTCATTTTCCTGTAAAATATTATACTTACACAAATTTTTCCTTCCCGAATAACCACCCCTAAAAGCAACCCTTCTAAACACTATAAGCACTTCAGAAAGACTATCGCTTTTGCTTTTTGGAAGTTCATACCTAATTTTAAGAATTTTTTATTACTGCACATTTTCCCGGAAAGTTTAGCTGCACAAATTTTAGCCTAGCTTAAGCACGCCTTGATTTCTGAACGCACCTTTATAATAATGTGTAACCACAAAACAGGCTACAATTGATATTCAAAAATCGGCCAAAACCAACATACTTTACACAGCACCCAGAGTCGCCCAGTGAAATTTGGGTATTCAGGGCCAAATTTGACTTGGGGGCCCTCGTAATTTCATCTTCTAACACTATGATTAAGGTGTCCGGGAGCATTCTCCCCGGGAAAATTTTGAAATCCGAAGTCCCAGAAATGGCCAAATCCTGCATTCTGGAAGTCTGTTGACAGTTATATCTATGTATATTTCACTGGAATTCTTTATTTGGGCCCCCCTTTAATTGACGCCCCAGGAAAAATTCCCCCCTCCGCCATTATAGGTGGTCTTAATAGCACCAACAGTTACAACTATCTATGACAGCATAGTTTCATAATCACATGCTTCCAAGAAAGAAATATATTCGTATTGGCAAATGAAAGGCAGCTTATAGGAGTGACAAACGTCCGAGGAGTTCCAGGGGCATACACCTACAGAAAAGTTCGTAATCTAGGCTCTCTGAAAGGGAATTTCGTTGCGGAAACATTCAACAGAATTCTAATTACAAAAAGATAAGTATCATTCACTTCATCATCCAAGCTCATGCATAAAGAGATCTTTGGTGAGACTTTGTTCACCTGAAGAACCTGAACTATAATATAAGTGCACGTTTCGATTCAAATTCATTCAAATTATTCTCATTCAAAATATTTTGATTAGTACTGTCAAGTGTCAAGACGAATTTTTAGTTCAGTTCTGCTCATTGCCTGATTTCCAAGTAATTAACAACTTATCACAGTAATTAGCAAATTTTATCACTGCACATTTTACATTTTATCACTGCACATTTTAGTTTTATCACTGCACAAATTGGCTATCACTGCACACTAAAATTAGGTATGCGGAAGTTAGAGTTATGTCGGCACTGCCGTTTCAGGGCGGGGTCATTTTCAGGACTTTCGTCCCAGATTCAGGTTTTGGCACATATGCCATGTTGACAACCATGGCCATTTTACTCAACATAAAACAGTTGAGATTACTTCTGGTATAAATGAAACGCATACAAACTCCTATACAGATCCTAGACTATTAGGTTAAACGATCAGAAAAATAAATAGTTTACCTTTCTATTGTCTTGGTGAGTAGAAATAAATAATGGTCTTGCGATTGGGGGCGGCTCTAAAAATGTTCAATATTTGGTATTTATTACCCACCAGCCCCTCTCCCATTATTAATGACCGGTCCCTTACTATAAAGATTACAGAGAAATTTAAAAAATCAAAATTTTAGCTAGTTATCGTTTATTATCATTATATGTACATCAACTAAGCTACATGACCAACCGAAAATTAACTAACTTCTACATCGCTCCCGAGTTCAATTTATTTTCTTGCGCGTACATATCACACAGTCTCTATAAAAGCTTAGATTTGCTTACAGCAAATTGGTTCCAAAAGCCTTTCAATATTCGGCTTTTATTATATGGCAATGACGTGATTTTACCAAACTAGTAAGGTCATAAGAACACGAAAAATCTAAGAGCGGATTACACGATAAAAAGCCGTATTGCCCTCATCTAAACAGGTTTTCCCGGGTTTGGACGAAGCAAAAATCCGACTTTTTTGAGTGAAAAACACACTACAGAAAAGAGAAGGTCAAAGGCGATCCTGATCATATTGTTACGAACACTTAAACAGTAGTAAAACAACGCTATAAAACTGCACGATTAAAACAACAACTTGCGAGCAATTTGAGGTATTTATTTTTTTAAATTTGTTCAGCAAAACAGCAGCAAAAATGCTATTGTATTTCAAAGACTAGTTTTCAACGAAAACAAATCATGACAATTTACTTGAATAAGTAACTGGACCATTTGGACGTAAAATGTTAGTAAGACGTGTACAAAGCTAAAACGTCAGTCATTGCTGCGCCTTAAACTGCATTATTCGCTTGCAGAATCGCTAGTTTGAAAAGAATTTTCCAAATTCTTGGTTCATAGTAAAACGATGAAAAGTTGAAGAAATCTGTTGTTTACGTACTAATTCACCTTTTTTAACAACTTTTAATCGGCATATTTCATATACTCACCTCAAAACAGCTTTCTTGTTTGCGGCAGATAAACAATTAGTTTGTTAAGAAACTTGATTGACAGGTGTTCTTTGTCTGTGCTATTTTATCCAATCAAATTCAAGAACGATGACGTCAGTGTTAAGTTGTTCCTAATTTGGTATGCAACTTCGACCTGTTTTAGGATGTTTGTTTTCATTGCATCTGAAAATCTGAAATTATTTGCCGTTTACAGTGCTAAATACATTTTACTGGTTTCTCGTATTTTTCCTCGGCCTTTCAGGGCTTAGATAAATACGTTCGAAACTCGTAAAATACTCGGCCGGATTATATGTCAAACCATTCAATAAGATACATTTCGTGGCGAACTAACCATATAGCAACTGGTCATGCTATGCCAATTTTGGAATTATTGTATTAGTCAAACCTTTGTTCTCAAACTATAATTTGGTACAGGTTTATTTGCACAGCATGACCAGTTGCCATGAAAGTCAAATGTCATTTGTCGCTGACATCGTAAAACGGTCATGATATTAGAATTTAGTTTAAAGAGGACTGCAAGTTACTGCATTTAAAATGTTTCACATCAAATTAATTTTGCAATAGGTGGCACATTCGTATGGAGCATATGGCGGATCTAAACATTATGTTCAAAACGCGTATGGTAGATTCTGGAACATGCCAGCTGACAAGAATGCTCGAAAAAGGAATCTAATAGTGAGCTTCACCGATAAAAGTGGGACATATTCTAACCAGAAATTCCTAGTTTGGAAAGCAGTTGATCAAATTGTCGCTAAAACAAACTTCTACAGCGTACGAAATAATGCCGGCAAACTACTACCTAAGGTGGTGGAAGAGCTGAAGAAAGAGGGAGTTTGGAAGTATGTCACAACTTTGAATGTTCTCAGGGAATACGATGATCTTGTTATAACAGCTGATAACCCCCTTACATACATCGACGAGAACTACAGATTCAAGTCTTATTACCCGCGCAACAAAAGGAAAAACAGCGTTATTCTGTACGATAATGTTCGCTTGGTGATAATACTGAAGTCGATGGAAATGGCGAATGGGTTGCCATGTGATAAATCATGTAACAACCAAGGTAGTTGTAGAACGCAACCATATTCATCTGCGAAATACTGCCAGTGCAAACCATATTTTCAAGGTATGTAAAACACTGCATTACAACACTACAACAGAAAAGGAAGGGGATCGGAGAGATGATTTCTGGTATCAGATATATACGGGATCGGTAGGGATGTGTAGGAATCGACGTAGGTTAACGCGTGGGGAAGACGTCGACGTATAACGTCACAGTTTTCAAAAAATCAGGCATATAACAGTTCGATTCTACAGAATTTAGTATTTTTCGGCTTTATGCTACAGATATCGGAATGTTCGTATATTTTAATATTTCGTCTTTTCACTATTATACTGGCATGCAAAATATAACAAAATGCTGTAATGCCATTTTCGTTAAAAACTAAAGATGTCATTTTCTTCCATAAACTACATTAGCATAATATTTTTTTTCATATTTGGCTTATTGTAAATTGAGGTTCCATGGAAAAGAATGCAAGGGAAAATTGGGGGGGGGGGGGCTTTACCGTGCTTCTACTTCCAACTACAGTATAATTGCCATTCCAACGGACTACATGTTACTAAAACTGAAAAAAAAATGAAAGAAATATTAAAATATATCAATATCCCAATATGTGTAACATAAATCCTAAAAATACGTTCAGGAATGCCAAACTGCTATTCACTAGAATTTTTATAAACTTTATCGAGTCAGATCCTATCAAAGTTGTGGTTACATACATGCTAAATTCGCCTGAAAGAATATAATTATACAGCTTTTCAAAACTGAACAAAATGCAACTATATTCAGGATTCAAACTTTTCAGCCTGCAATTCTAGAACATTGGATCGCGCAATGGTGTTGTGTAAATATTGCATGAGGATGGAAAATCATTATGTTAGAAATTCAGTAAAAACTTTAGTTTGCTTAACTCCAAAGAACATTCCGCTAAAACCTTTTCAACATGTAGATGCGGAGTGGATGAACAGCATGGTTTTACTTTTTAATTTGGCTCAAATTGACAGTTTTGTTGTTCAATATAATTAATTACAGGTCCTCTACAGCGTAAGTAATCAGGAGAGCGAAGCTTATTAATGAGTATGTTGATTAAAACGCTTAGTGCATTTCAGTGCATTTGACCATCTTGCGCTAAACATACGGGAATGGCCAATGAAATGTCCAATATTTAATTTCATTAAATAGAGCAAACATTTTTAGCAACGGCATTTTCATGAAAAGTATTTTATTTTTAAAGGTGACAAATGTGAAGAGCACGCCGAAGCCCAGTTGGCAAAGACCATAGATTCTTTGTTACTACAAACATTAAAGCTTCCCTATTTGAGTGACATTGCTTTCGATATAAAGGACTTACGCGAGTATGTTGGCATTAGCTTCGGTGAAGTCCGGTCAGCAATCAGTGACCTAGAAGTTGCTTTTAAAAAAGCCTTTGACAATCTCACCCGCTTGTTGACAGGCCAGTTCCAATGGTCAAACTTAATCACACTCTACAACAAAGCAATCCGACAAATTGAGTTTTACTCATATCGCTTTCAAAAACTGCCGAAGCTTGATCGAAACGTAAGGGTCACAGAAGAGAAGCTTTTAGCAACGGCCGTCCTTGCGGCCAATGGTATTCAACAATGGTTGTACGAGGTCAATTTCCTATTTCTTGGAAGGACTGGGACACCTTTAGTTAAGCATGAACCTCTCATTTTAGTTTTCATGAACAGGTAAGGGAAATTTTATATGGGCTGTTCACATATATAACCTCTACATAAAGAGCTATACCTTAACAGTAGATGAGTTGGGTTTCCATTTGCACTTGAACACTCTGACGTATATCTGGACGTGCACCAAGCTGCACTGCACGATGAGGAGTAGAACGCCCAAACTGCGGATTGTACTACACACACACACACACACACACACACACATAGACACACACACACACACACATATATATATATATATATATATATATATATATATATATATATATATATATATAGGTATACAGAAGGAAAGGCGAACTCCAGACAGATCAGTAATAATGTTTTATTACAAACGTTTCGCCAAAACAGGCTTCATCAGTGTAAAAAGTTAAAAACACAAGGAAGTTAACTCATGCGATTTATAACCTAACCTATGAATAATTAAGAACTAATTAAGGACTAAATGAGAATACTCTAGGGATGTTTAAAAATATGGCCTATTATTGCGAAATAATTAAATTGTTTCTAATTACTAAAGATTATTCTGTTCTTCGACCCAAATTCACATCTCTTATTGACACCGTAAGGTTTTAAAGTGCATAACTGCGCACTCCAGTATGCTTCTCTTGTCAACAATCGCTTCTCAATCGCGAATCATTGTCATTTACTATTTGTTCTATATCTATAAACTTGAAGTCCCACAAATCATGCGATGTTTTGTTGAAATGCGTCGCTACTTCACATGTCCTTTTATTGTTAATCATCGTGGACTTGTGGTTACGAAAGCGGACCTTCAGTTCACTGTGCTCGTGGATCCAATGTATGGCATGCCGTGAGCACTTAATACATGTAACTAGGTACACAACATTTTGACAATTGCAACGAATGTTCTGTTTAATTGGGTACTTTACCCCCCCCCCCCCGTCTGACTACTGACAAATGTACTAGACTCGTGTATGTTGTTGTTGCAAAAGTCACACTTCTTTCCACGTTTATAACACCCTTTTGGACTTTGATCCCCGCTCGTTTCCTGCCGTCGTTTCGTGGAAAGTTTTTCTTTGATAGTTTTTGGCCTTCTGAAGGATGGTATTATAGATCTAGGTGGAAAAATCTCTTGTAACTCTGATGAATCTTGGATAAGGAGAAAATGTTTCTTTGAGAAAATGAGTTTGAGATGTATATATATATATATATATATATATATATTTATATATATATATATATATATATATATATATATATATATATATATATATATATATATATATATATATATATATATATATATATATATATATACATCTCAAACTCAAATTAAGGCAGCCGTGCTGCCACTCAAATCAACCCAGCCGTGGCAGGCAAAGTTTTCTGCTTGCGCGTTGTCTGGAAATTATGATATATCTCACTCGAAAACATTTCATCCTTAACTTTAACTTAAAACAATGAAATTACTTTTAACAGGTACAGGTCTTTAGCATGCACTCCTGCATATAAAGCTGCTGTTGATAACACCTGGCGCCAGTTAGTACTTCTCCAACAAATGGGATTTATTGTCTGGGCGCAAGCTCTTCAAATTGTGGGCAGACCAACTGCACAGGTTGCACAGCTATATGATGCCCGAACAAATACACAGGTAAGGATGTATAGCTTTTCCTGAACGTGGTTTGCCATAAATGGTTTGCATGAGAAAATAGACCAAAAATTAAACGCAAAAGCAGCCAACAAGAGAAAACGGAACAAGAAAGACAAAGAAATATTGTATTTTTCCCTTATATACCTATACCCCCGCCATTATGCGATTTCGGCTGTTTTCCCTTTCTTTGTCTTTTATCGTCGAAGCTCGCAGCCATCATCCGCAAGTTATGCGTTTATTTGAAGATAAATAATCTGAAGAATATCCATGCAATCAAGTTTTGTCGGGTTTCAGTCACGTCAGTAAGTTCTACCTTTGATATTGTACAAACGTTGTTTTATTCAAATATGGCGCCAGTGCAATGTCTTGTTGCTTCTCTGCTCCGTTAATCACAGTCAATAGTCTTGTAGTGTATTTAAATTACAGCATCCGTAAATATACCAAATAGAATGTAGAAAGGTTTCGATGCAAAAACTGAATAGTTTAATGCCGAGTTCTAAACGTTTACCACCTATATAACAATTTGCAAACATAATTCAATTATACAAAATAATTCAAAACAGCACATTCAAAAAATGTATAGCTTCAATGATTTATTAGATAGGGCTATTTCCCAAGCGCCGTTTCTGGTTGTGGTCATTTTGGAACATTTTGTCCAGGATTCGGGTTTTGGCACATATGGCATGTTGTCCGCCATGCCATGCATGGTCAATATACTCAAAACTGTAAAGATTATCTGTCCTAAATGAAAATGCATACAAACTCATATGCAGTCAGGTCCTAGACTATACTGGAATACATGAAAAAAGCTAAACAAATTTCATTAGAAAGTATCTTAAGTGCTTCAAGAAAGAACTGCTTGACATATCTTTGACGAAACACGAAAAATATAATGATAATTTTGGTAAATAAAAACAAATACTCCTCGGCTTTCGTACCATATCCGGTTTGTAAGAGGCAGAAAAACAACAGCAAATTCGTCTCCTAGTCAGGATGAATGGGTTTTTTGGTCATTTCCCCCCAGTTCATTAAGTTTAATTCCAAAATTTATGATGTTTTTGTTTCTTCGTAGTCTCAGAATCCATCTTTCAGATAAAAATGCTTACTGGGTGCGATCAATCTTCCAAATAAAATTGCTTGCTCACCTTCGGGGAATAATTGTTTTAGTATCAGACGTCTTAATAGCTTTTGTGTTTTTTGGGACTAAATTTATTTTAATTTTGCTTATTTCTTTATCTGTGATTTCCACAAAACGGCTAGTTGCCATTTTGTAAAATAGTTTAATTTTACTGCATGTTATTGTCACCCACAGGTGAATATAAGAGAATATCATGTCAAATTTTAGCAATCACCACGTCGGATTTCTCATATTCACTGTGTAAAAATACTAATTTCTTATATTATATGAAGTCGGCTACGCCTAGTGTTTACACATTCTTCTTGTATTCTCCCAACACTCCAACAGTCCCCTCGTGCACGCACGTGACTCGTTTTCTATCTCTTAAATAAATATATAAAGAGAAACGTTGTGCAGTAAAAATTGTGATTATTTCACTTCTCATAGAAATTCATTTGATCAATATTTTCAATATTTCACTTCTCATAGAATTCATTTGATCAATATACTTCAACAAAATTACAAAGTTTTAATTGAAAAATTATAAATTATTATTTTTCTAAAAATACATGTATGCAGCAACCCTTCGCATGTATTTTCGAAACATTGATTTAACATTACTAATTGATCACCACTGAACGCAGGTTGCCATGGCCACAGAATACTATACAGAAGTCCATCTTTTTTGGCGTAAGCATGATTCGTCACTCAGCAAGTACCGTAAACAAAAGGAGGCGCCCCCCTGGAAATATTCAAAATGGCGCACGTCCAGGGGGGTAACTGCTTCTGTTTACGGTACTTGCTGAGTGACGAATCATGACGAATAGCGCTTACGCAAAAAACAATGGAGATAGACTTCTGTATATATAGCATTCTGTGTCATGGCAATACGGTAAATTTAATTTTTATTATATTTTTTGTACAACACGCCAAAAATAGTTATTGCTTTTTACTATATAACAATGAATGTCCGAAATATGTACTGCAGTCTGCAGGTACATGTACGCTGTTCTGCATTTTGTGAGCTTTCATTTAATGTAAAATTTAACATGAATCGCTTCGTAAAATGTTTTGTAATGTTCATTTTAGTAACTATATAAACTGCTTTTTCCAATAATAAACTGTTTTTACTTAATAAAACAAAATAAGTTCAAATTGTTGAGTAATTTCAGTTCGGTTTTCAAATTAATATGCTCTCCTTTACAATTCACCCTTTTTTCTTAAATTAAACAGGGTAACTGATTTAGCAAACTTTAATACAGCTTCATTGAAAAGAAAAGAAAGCGGTGCATGTTTTACGCAATGAATTAAAACAACAAAATTCATAAACATTAAACATTCAATGAAAATTTGCCCTGTATTTCACGATTTTTCAGTAAATCAATTCTTCTCATTTTTTGAAACAAAAATTGCTTCAAAGCTCGTTGTGTGAAACGTATTTTCCAAATATGTGCTTTTGAAAATTGAAATCTTGCTTATCGCACTCCTGGCAAACAGCCATATTTCTGAGATCAGTGAGGATGACCACCAACGGTTGGTCAACCACGCCCGCGATCATTGATGAACTTTAGACTTCGCTAATACTTCCCTTTCCCCAGGTGTAAATGGCCAGGAGGAATTAGTATCCTCGCCCCGGGCTAATGCCCGGGACGCCGGCTCTCCGTTGGTTCGGGGATAATCCTGATTAAGTATACTAACTTCTTTTGCATGTATAACAGATTAATAAGGGAATAAGAGAAAATAGTATTTAAATTAATGTGCCAAAATTTTGGCAACAAGAAAATGGGGATGATGTAAAGCGCTTTCGGTTCCATGCTATCAAAAATCAAAATGGCAATTATATAACCTCGGACCTTTTACTTTGATAAAATTAAATTATTAATAATCGATTTAATTTTTTTTTCAGATTTCCACGTTCAACCAAAAGACATGCGAATACAGTATTGCTAATTCAGACAATGTGCAATGCACCGGAGGCAGGTATTTATACCCAGCTATGAACATCATGAACCAGTGCAAAACAAATTACTACATAACGGGAACGAAAGAAACTACATGTGTCAAGAAAGGATCTGGATGCAGAGCATGCAATTGCAACGCAGCTAGTTCTAGTGGTACGGAATGTTCAGATATATCCGGACAGTGCAATTGCAAGTCTGGTTTCTATGGCATGACGTGTCAGAATCGAGATTGTGTATGGGGACGTTGGCCTGCCTACTCTTCCTGTACCAAGGGTTGTGACTATGGGGGTACCAAAACGAGAACTAGGCCACACAAGGTGACAAAGCAAGGACAAGGTACATCATGTAGTGGGTCAAAGACGGAAACTACGAGTTGCTTTAACCGTTGCTGTGGTTATCAATTTCATTGTTCAAACAAGCGAAAATGTATACCCTTAAGTCGCAAATGTAACTACAATAATGACTGCGGTGACAAACAAGATGAAGCCTCATGCAGCGAAAGTTGTTGGGTAAAACGTACGTCCTGGAATAATGCAGGAGGAGGTGATATGGTTTATATGGACCGCCATAGACTTACCTGTGGAGGTGCTCGCGGCATTAAAATGTTTCGTCTGCAACGATCGGGAGGAAAGATAAGATACGAGTATATCTGCTGTGCTCTTACGTCCAATGTCTGCGCTAACACCAGAAAATGGAATGGCTTCACCTATGATGGCAATGGTGATACGGTTTACTTGGACCGACAAACGATCTCTTGTGGAAACCACGGTTATATCAACGGCTTTTGGCTACAAAGAAACGGCAGGCACAACCGTATTAGATACAGCTATGATTGCTGTAATTTGAGGAGTTACCAACATCGTGCAAGAACAACGTGTTATACATCTCGTACTGGCTTCACTTATGATGGTAACGGCAAAAGTTATTATCTCGATCGGCAAACAGTTCGGTGTTATGATAGGTACTTTTTAACCTATATCAGTCTGGAAAGGAACGGCAAACATGATAGGTGGAGATATCGGTTTACCTGCTGTAAAATTCGAACTTAGATCGCAGAAAATAACATTTGAACATTGGCTTGGCTTATGTTACCCAGAACTATACTTTTTACCTGATCACTTTATTTCTTATTTGTAATGCTTTGTAATCACTTTTCGTACATAACAATGTAATTTTTCGACGTTCTACAATCGCAAGTATTGCTTGTAGTGTAGTTTACATTATTATCAACAATTATTGAATGAGGTTGAACATGATGAAGCATGATGATGGTGTTATCAACGAAACCGGAGGCGGAGGTTGATAACACAAATTGAGGGTTTGATAATTCTTCATATTTTGCGGAAACTGAATTCAATAATTGTTTTATTATTTATTTAAAAGATGAAAAAGACATCGGATCCGCACCTGTGGGCTCAATTCGTCAAAGTAATGACCAGTTCTTTTTCTCCATTTACAGAAAATCTTTTGTTCTTTTTTTATAAGTACGTGTAGATGTATCAACGGCTATTTACGTTGATATTTCATTTTTTATATATCAGTTTAAAAACTGTTTCTTTAAACCTGAAAATACGGCCGAAGGCGGGCCATATTGTCTTAGTCGTGTTTCCACTTTTTGTATTCGTATGTCCACAGCATGAGGTCATAACCTCGAACATGATATTTAGATAATGAACGTTATGACGTCACTCCGTTCAATATTCAATAGCTAACCAAGGGTTAGACCACCTGGGGACGAGGTTACCAAATATGGAATTTGATAACGATTTCACAGTTGGCTGTTAGCCAATGAGTGACCATAAATCTTTTAAATAAATAATAATGTTACTTATGTGCACTTATATATATTATTAATAATAACGTGCGTGGCACATGTATGGACTTTTGGCGTAAACGTCGAGAACGCTTTCGACAAGAAGAACAATTATGTGCGGATTTTTTGCATAAATTTTTATCACTACATATATAGCTTATCTTTTGCTTACTAATTTTAGTTTACTACAGCTAATTCTTTGTAATTTTTAAGTGCTGGTTCATAGTACAACAAATAACGTTAAAAATATAGATTCAAACGTGTGTTCGTGTGCTTTATTGGTCTGAAATTGCTACCTCATAATTTACCAATCTGTTACATTAGCCCAGGTCCGTAGCCAGACCGATAATTGGGGGGATGGGGTGTATATCATAGAAATATTAGACCTAGAATGCGTGCTTGGTCCCGTGACCGGTGTCCAAATTGAAAACAAAAATGCCCTTATAAAGCCGACATGTTGAATTTGAGCATAGGAGTGCAAACTACAAAGTATAAACAAAGCTAAAACTAAGTTTTTATTGTCAAAAGGTTTTGTCTTGCTGTCTAATTTGTAATTTGGGGATATATTTTGAAATATTAAGTTCTTTAAAGGCTCGAAGCAAATGACTGTGCAGTTACTGACAAAAACGGTGAAAATCATGCAGCTTGTATAAAAAACAAAGTAGTTTCGCGTATTAAAATATAATTTACTCTGCTTTGCTAATATATTATTAAATTACGAAATAATAGTTCATTCTTTGTCGGGTTTCGTTTTTCTTCAATCTAAACGAAGTGTTTTCATTTAGTTGTCAATAAACTGTAAATTGCCTAAATAATCGTTGAAAACTATGGTTTCAAAACGTTGTATCAAGCTCAAGCAGCGTAAAAAATATAAAAAAGTAGTTGTGAAAGTTTAAGAAGATTATATTATAAAACAGCTGAAATATTTTTAGAACATACCAATAGTATTGAGTTTGAGTTTGTCTTGATTTTTCGTGTTTTGTTTAATTGGCTTGCACAACAACGTTGAAAATGTATTTTCAAACGACGATTTCTGTATATATTCTGTTCAGACCTATTGCTTTTCGTAAAAAAACCACGGGAATGGGTTTTTCTACTTTAAAATACTTTTTCCCACTTGAAGTCTCGAAAATAATTGTTTTTGCAAACTTTGTTGTTGAAAAAAACAATTCGCAGTTTTTCGCATTCCCTGCAACTGCGCGAAAATCCTTGCCCCAGGAGTCTGGGACTAGCCAAAATGCCCTTATAAATCCGCCATTTTGTGGAGACAAAATTTTTACTCCGAAGAGATAGGAGCGCGCATTCTATGTCTAATATTTCTGTGGTGTATATTCATATATTCGTGTTCTGCCCGACGGATTTCTTTTGAAAGCGATTGTTTTTACGGTATGTGAACATGAATACATGAATACACCCCCCTCCCCAATTATCGTGTCTAGCTACGGCCCTGCATTAGCTCAGTAAAAATAGCTCAATATAATTTATCATGAACACTGAAAGAATACTAGAGACATTTTTAGTAATTTCAATGCAAGTATAAAAATTTGACAAAACATGATGAATTTAATGCGTACAGTACATTTTATATATTTAGTTTGTATCTTTAGGGACTGGTCATAATTTAGCAGGGGTGGGGGGTGGGGAGGTGTAATTCAAAATTTTAAGGAATGATATTTTGTCACCCTGCTTTGCCATAACCTGGAAAAATAATGCCCCCCCCCCCTCTCTTGCTCGTGTCAGTAAAAATGTACCTACCTATTACTAAACACTGCCGATTCAATAAATTTTCTAATTGCACTTTAAATTTTCTAATTTTCTAGTTGCGCTTAAATCAAATACTAAAATTTATATTATACCAATACATAGTCATATAAAACTTTAGTTTTATCAAACTTTAGTTTTATCAACCCTAGCTTGATCCTCCTCTGACTCAGGGCCTTTTTTAAGGATTTTCCCGTGGGGGGCATTTTTTGAAAAGGGACCTTTCTGTGAGATAATATATTACAGGGAGATAGCAATGGCTGAAGGCCACGTGTGCGCCGAACATACCATGCACGCATGAATGAGGGGAGTGTACTCCCCCAGAAAATTTTTGAAATTTGAAGCACAGAAATACCATTTCCTGCATTCTGAGCATCCAAATGCGCTCCAAAATGGAATAAAAGAAGGAAAAACCCCACAAAAAAGTTAAAAAAGTATTAACCATAATTTATCATTAATTATTAGAGGAGGATCCCAATGGTCACGTGTGTGGGGGTGTACTCCCCCAGAAAATTTTGAAAATTTGAAACACGGAAATGCCATTTCCTGCATTCTGAGCATCCAAATTTGCTCTAAAATTTATGCTAACTATACTTGTATTTGAAATAAAAGAAGGAAAAAATGCACAAAAAGTAAAAAAGAATATTAACCGTAATTTATCATTATACTTATTAGAGGGGGATACCAATGGCCGAAGGCCACGTGTGTGGGGGCATAATCTCCAGAAAATTTTTCGAATTTGAAACCTGGAAATGCTCTTTCCTGCATTCTGAGCAACCAAAAAATAAAAAAATTATTAACAATAATTTATCATTACTTAGTGGTAGAAAAACGTAACAATTTAGATCGATTTTGTTAAACAAGGACAAAAGACAAAGCCTAAAACTTACTTTCCGTTTATTTATTTGTTATTCTTCGCTGTTTTTTTGGTATACATTTAGGAAAAAGGGACTTTTCCTGGGGGGGCAAAATGTGATTTCGTGGGGGGGCACAAGGGGGGACTGGGGGGGCAAATGCCCCCCAGCTTGTATGTAAAAAGGCCCTGTCC